GCGGCGGAAAAGAAAAGGTTAGAAGCGTTCGAAATGTGGTGTTATAGGCGAATGATGAGGATATCGTGGGTAGAAAAGGTTAGAAACGAAGAGGTATTGGAAAGAATAGGAGAACAGAGGACTCCATGGAAGTCAATAAAAAATAGGCGAGATAGGTTGGTAGGACACCTTCTTAGGCATGAAGGATAAAGGTCTAGTCAGAGACATATTAGAGGCATTTAATATTGTAATGAGAAAACATGTTAGTAGCAAGTGAACAAATACGTAAGAAATTACAACATTGGGTTAGCTACCTTCAGGTAGGTAACGTAAGTTTACAATAATGTTGTCAAATCATAAAATTTATACTAAAAACATCGATTCGGTTAACATAAAATTTTGAGTAGTAAAATTTATATATAGGTACGAAATTAGGAGTAGTTTCTTTGCGTGTATATGACAGTCAACATTAGTGCTTAACTTTCCCCAAGACGGATTTTGGTTTTGTTAGCAAGAGATTACAATTATTGAATCGTTCAGTAGGTGATCTTGTTTTATTTTTTTAACTCTACAAGTAAATGGCTGAGGTTATTGGGGATGACGACTAAATTAATTTTCAGTATAAGTCATCTTTGGGATACTTTTGTGGTCTGGTTGTTGATAGTTATTACTGTGGATTACTTCGAAATGCATCATTTGTATGTATTCATATTGGTTGTCGTCCACAGTTTTTTAAACATAAAGTTTTTGTTTATTGTACATATATCTCCGGAAATCGATTTTCATAATTCCAACATTTCCAAACTCGAAACTTAACGTTTTGAAGTCTCAAAAGTGCTACATATCTGCCTTAATAAGCACAGGTAAACACTTAGAGTTGTACTTACGTAACTATACAGGGTAATTAATGTAAATCTAGCGAGAGGTATCGATTGGAAAATATTTGAAACTGAGGCATTTCCTGTGTGTGTATATGCCTTTACGTCATTTTATAGACCATTTTTTTTATTAAGGAAACATTTTATTAAGTTTAACGATAATTTTTATAAAGATAGTATATCCTTAAAGCAGATATTTCTCATATTATAATTATTTTCTACTTCAAGATGACAATTTTAATACAAATATCGGTGATTTTCCTTAACATCAATTTTCAAATTACTAGACAAGGAGGCAAGTTAATGCTTATTTTNATTGTTTTGGCTGTTAGAGAATGGATCTGAATTTATTACTGGCAAACGACTTTAATAGCTGTAATTCGAATGATTCCTTAAAATTATAGCTAACAATAAAAGACATTTGCAGTGATAACTGTTTTTTACCTTTTTAATGTTAAACTTTTATAATTGTGAAAACTGCGTGTCACGTATTTCCACCTAAATTTTTAATCCTATTTTCTTAAAAGTTGTATATTTTTTTATAAAAATTCACATTAGAAATATTTCTAAACTGTAAAGTTTATTATACATATATCTCCGGAAATCGATTATCATAATTCCAACATTTTCCAAACACGAAACCTAACTTTTTGAAGTCCCAAACAAATGCTACATATCTGCCTTATTAAGCACAGGTAAACACTTAGAGTTGTACTTACGTAACTATACAGGGCAAGTAATTAATGTAAACCCAGGGAGAGGTATCGATTGGAAAATATTTGAAACTGAGGCATTTCCTGTGTGTGTATATGCCTTTACGTCATTTTATAGACCATTTTTTTATTAAGGAAACATTTTATTAAGTTTAACGATAATTTTTATAAAGATAGTATATCCTTAAAGCAGATATTTCTCATGTTATAATTATTTCCTACTTCAAGATGAAAATTTTAATACAAATATCGGTGATATTTCTTAACACAGACGCTATGAATTGCAACCTTGAAAAAACCTCAAATTAGAAGCGAAACGAGGCAAGTTAATGCTTATTTTACAAAATATTCAGTATCCTAAGAAAGTCATTGCAACTAGTGCAAAAAAGTGCGATGCAGTTGTTTCAGGCTATTCAAGTAATTATTTAACCGATTTTGATAGGTATGAAAAATAATGTGAAAAAGCTAACATTTTGAATGGATTAAAGTGAATTAATTTTTACCTCTACAGATAACCTCAAATTAATGAGGAAAAGTGACCTACAACATAGTTAGGTACGTACTGTCGTTGTTGCTGTTGCCACCTCTCGTAGCTTATGGTCCTACAGCAATGGTGCGTAAAGCCAGAGACTAGGGTTCGATTCCCAGCGAGGGCGTCACTGCAGCAACAATTTTTCTTCAATAATTTAAGGTTATCCGTAAAGGTAATTAATTCATTTAAATGTACTGTATTAACCCTACAAAAATTATTCTACATTTTGAGTGGATTTCAGATTATTCTTGCATTTGGTAGTCGTAAATTTGTGAAGTTGGTACATCAGGTTTTGTTGGCGTAACCATTGTTTACTATGAATGTGGACAGCGTTGGGCATTTTTGTGTCTATTCAATAGCCTAATAGATAAGTGTTTAGTTTTAAATTCATGTTTCATCTTCTGCTAAATTTTCAATATACATTTTAAATTAAATTATTTAAAATGAGTACGATCGATTGTCGAATTTTTCGCCATCGACCGGTACCCCTGGGCTATTATCCTAATTCTTATCACGCTTGGACTTAACATTGTTCTTTGCGATTGGAAAAAATACTGCTGTACAAAGTTTTCAAAATGTCCCAAGGCTTAGTCAATTCGCACCTCAATATATTTTTGCTGTGAACTTTGTTCAAACTGTAAAAAGTAGAATTAAACGGCCACGGTAATGAGTTCCTATAATCTTAAGCAGTAACCAACCCCTCATTTTACGAAAAAGACACAAGCATCTTTGTATGGAACTACGCGAGATTTCCAGGGAAAGAACTTTCACTCCCGAATGGTACCGGAGCTTCCAGCACTGGAGTGCTGGTGGTAAGTATTTTTTCTCAATTCACATGTGTTTGATGTTTGTTTTCTTTTACAAAATATTAAAACAGTGGCAAAATGTTTACTGAAGTAGCCTTAATCACTGATTCTGAGTCGACCATAAAGTCTTAGTGACTAGTTTGATTCTAAGTTCAATAAGGATTTGATGTTTTTCATTTCGAGGCACCAAATCCTAAAAATCCTTTTTTTATTTCTCCGTTTAATCCTGTAATTTTCTCGTTAAGAGTTAGAAGTGACAGGCTTTTAATTGAACCAGAAAGTACTTATTCTTTTTTAGAATTATTTTAGAAGATCTTAAAGTACTTATCAGTTATTCAACATATATGTTTTGAGCAGCAAATTGGCAGGGTCGTCTTTGACCATGCCGGGGCCCTTGGGCACACAGGAATTTGGGGCCCTTTTGGACAGTAAAGTGAATGATACAAACATTTGTCTGTTTTGATGTTTTAATTAAATCAAATTTGTAGATGTTCGCCTAATTAATTGGGAATATTTTAGGGGGTGGTAGTACTGTCGATACGAACAACTTTTACTATGGTGTCGATTCCAGTCTTTATATCCATTTGGAGAACTGAAATTATGTCCAGTACCAGCACTCGTATTAAATAGACGACAGGAATAACAGTACACACATTTCTTCGACGGTGAATAATGGAGCCATTTTCTTTCTATAGACTCCCCATTCGTCAATTTACGGGTGAAAATATTTTTAGTCAAGTGTCTAATTTTTGTTTTACCACTTAAATCTGGAAAACTTGTAGAAGACTCAAAAATATCACAATTCTTATTTTGGAAAAACTCTGGTCCTTTCCGAATCCAAATATACCGTATTTCTTCCGTTAAAATTTCATCACGGTACGTACCAGGATCACGATAAGGACCTGGAGATATATTCTCCAAGCTTGCTGCTATTAACTCACATTAGTTTGAAGTGGAGGGTTTAGCGTCTGATGGGCTCTTTTTCCTGTTGATATTTAGAAGTATTTTGATCTTGAGGTGATGGGAATGAAGAATCAGTCCCATCAGTCCGTTTGTTTGTTTATTCAACCATAAAAAATGAAGTGAGCTTGCGAAGCTTTTTGGTTACTTCTCTTTGAGCTACAACTTCTTTTCTTTTTTGTGAACCACTTAAATATGTTCTTTTCGATATAATGAAATGATTTGTTATCATAACGATCACACCAAAGTTATAACTTCTGTTGCTCTTCTATAGAGATGGTGTAGTAGTGTAATTAATTAGGGTGTATTCTGCATTCGGGAAAAAAGAGTAATGTAAGCAAATAATATCGGTCTTCTGGGGCCCTCGTGAGGACGGGGGCCCTGGGCACGGGCCCCGTGTGCCCTTATGGTAAAGACAGTACTGCAAATTGGAAGGAATCCATTATTCTTAATGTAGAAAAATAATAACATCAAGAGATAATAATAAACACTGAAATAAAAAAAACGTATTTTTGAATTTGTAAAATCTTAAAGTGACCTTTAACACGAATGTTGTTCTTCATGTTTTCAGTTCCAGTTAGGGAAGCTCCACAGTGTTTAATTTAGATGATGTTTTTATAATAGCTAATGTCAGATAATGAAACAGTTAAAAGATATTTATCAAAGAGGAAATTGTAAAAATTATAATGAGGGTCAAAATTATTTAGAAATAATGAGTCTGGCGTGTACGGAAGCCGAATGGTCGGTGTAATCAGCGTCAGTTTTTCGACTACAATAAATAAATGAGTAGGTAAAGAGAAGTGTCAATGGCAGCCAGTATAATATTGGTTATCGAGGCAGAGCAATTGTTTGACCGACACGCCTCCAATTGTGTGCTGGCCGCTTTCCGAATTATTAACGAGTCAAATACACACACATCACCTTCCACCACACTCAGATACACACCACACAACTTGTCCTAAACATACAAATTTTGTACTAAACATGTGAAAGAAACGTTCAACGACTTCTGTCCAGAATTATCCCCGAATCGTATATCGAATTAGATTTTAATAAGCCATCGAGATACAAAAGAACCTCACACATGGTTATAGCAGACAATTTTCATTTCATCAGGAACAAAGTTAAGTTAAATTCAACCCATCATTATGAAGCAATAGGAATATACAAAAATTTTATGAGAGTAAATTCTTGGTCACAAACTTGAAACTATCAAGTGTGGCCAAGGATTTTGCACTTTAACCTGACACCAACCCTGAGTCCGACACTGCTCCTAATTTTGATCCCTCAATCCTTCCCAAAATTTATTAAGCCACTTTAGATCGTCCACACTTCACTCCAGCTGTTGAAGATGTTTACAATGTTTGTGCTTTTTTTGGTACAAAAGAATTGTAATCTTTATTAAGATGGAATTATTTTTTAATTATAATAAAAAATCCATACAAAAATTAACGGTTAATTAAGAAATTCAAAAAAGATTGTTAAAGGTATGTCTGAATAATGAGGATACCGTGAATAGAGATGGTTAGAAATGAAGAGGCATTAAAATGAATTGGAGAACAGATGACTCTCCTAGACAAAAATTTTCAGTCTCTCTCCGGTCTCAGAGTCTTTCAGCGTCTCTGAGAGCGTCTCTCACAGTCTCTCAGTTATTGTCCAAGTGTTTTTGTGGATCTCTCACAGTCTCTGTATGAGACTCGAACGATAAAATTGTTTCAGAGATTCGAGTCTCTCGTTCAGAGACTGGATACGAAATGAGGATCTTTCTATGAGCGACTGGAGTCTCTCGTTTGGAGACGCTAAACAGATTTTTTGACGATCTCTCTCAGCGACACCAGAGAGACTCGATGAGAGACGAAGACTCGAGTCTCATTTTCAGAGACTCTGAGAGACTGAACATTTTATCTCGGGTCTATGGAAGCCAATAAGAAATAGGCGAGATAGATTTGTAGGACACCTTCTTTGGCATGAAGGACTAGTCAGAGACATATTAGAAGCAGAAACAGGAGTTAAGAAGAGTAGAGGTCGACCTTGATTAGATTACTGCTCAAAATAGTTAAGGAAGGGGGATGTTCTAGTTTTAGGGAAATGCGAAGATTAGCTCAGAAGAAGAAAAAGTGGAGGTGCAGGTCCAATCAGTCTTAGGACTGACGACATTAAAAATGAACTAAAAAATTATAGCAAGACATTCATTTATTTGCATCTATTTACAGCAAGTTTCTTAAGCGAATTTATCTGTCTATTCTAGATGAAAATTTTTCCAAAATTACGCAATTTTCATTGCACATGAAGTTCAAAACGGTGGATCGAAATTTAATAGAACATAAATGTTCATGGTTGAAGAAGATATAATACGAAAGGACCTGCTTACACATTCCTAAATAGCGTTTTATAATTTTAATTGTCTCCGAACAAAATTCCATTAACCGTTAGTACTTTTTTTAATATAAAGAAAAGAAATTAAAATTTTTCGAAATATTTCATTAAGTTTAGCAACGTACTTCAATTTTATACTTTCTGTTTTGCTTAAAATTTTCTTAAACAAAAAGGTATAAAAAACGGTACGGTAGGTTGTGAAGCAAGGAGAAAGGTAATAATTACCGCGTCTCGAGAATAATTTACAGCTGACAGTAACACACGGGACATTCGGACGGAGTATTAGTTACTTACGATTAGGTATAAAAAATTGGGCATCCAAAAGGGGGTAAGGACCCCATTAGGTTTTTCCCGATCGATCGAGGAGAAGCGGAGAGGGCATTAAAAGTGCTATAATGAACACGCTTGGACCTATCTTCATTACTATTGGGTGCACGTGCTGTAATGCACATTCACCGTCAGCTGGACAGAGATATTGCTTCCATATGCAAGATATTTCCAACAGAAATTTTTCTTTCCTTTTCAATAACTTCAAACGCGATCGATATACGATTTCTAAAACTCCACCTACATTCATAATATACATATGTAGATACATATTATGTAATTCGCTTAAGTATTTTAGAAGATTTTAAAGTACTTATCAGTTATTCAACATATATGTTTTGAGCAGCAAATTGGCAGGGTCGTCTTTGACCATGCCGGGGCCCTTGGGCACACAGGAATTTGGGGCCCTTTTGGACAGTAAAGTGAATGATACAAACATTTGTCTGTTTTGATGTTTTAATTAAATCAAATTTGTAGATGTTCGCCTAATTAATTGGGAATATTTTAGGGGGTGGTAGTACTGTCGATACGAACAACTTTTACTATGGTGTCGATTCCAGTCTTTATATCCATTTGGAGAACTGAAATTATGTCCAGTACCAGCACTCGTATTAAATAGACGACAGGAATAACAGTACACAGATTTCTTCGACGGTGAATANGCGGCGGAAAAGAAAAGGTTAGAAGCGTTCGAAATGTGGTGTTATAGGCGAATGATGAGGATATCGTGGGTAGAAAAGGTTAGAAACGAAGAGGTATTGGAAAGAATAGGAGAACAGAGGACTCCATGGAAGTCAATAAAAAATAGGCGAGATAGGTTGGTAGGACACCTTCTTAGGCATGAAGGATAAAGGTCTAGTCAGAGACATATTAGAGGCATTTAATATTGTAATGAGAAAACATGTTAGTAGCAAGTGAACAAATACGTAAGAAATTACAACATTGGGTTAGCTACCTTCAGGTAGGTAACGTAAGTTTACAATAATGTTGTCAAATCATAAAATTTATACTAAAAACATCGATTCGGTTAACATAAAATTTTGAGTAGTAAAATTTATATA